TTATTATTATTATTATTATTATTATTATTATTATTATTATTATTATTATTATTATTTTCCAGTCTCAACTCTGGCTTTCCAATTCAAACATACTTAGTTTTATTAGTATTCTGATTTTGTTGTTATTTTATATTACATTATTGTTCTAATTCCAATGATACTATTCAAATAATGATTCGCTGTGTGACCTAGGGTGTTTTGTACACTGTTACGTGCCCTGGGATTTGACTATGATTATTAAACTAATACAATTTTCTCTTTTTATATTTGAATTTGTAATTCAGGCCCTCCACAGATCACTAATGGAACTGAGCAGCACTCTTCAGCCTCTATCTTTGAGCATGTGGACCGAATGTCACGATCCTCTGAAATCAGTAGAAGAGTCCCTAGCAAGATCCAACTGATTGCTATGCAGCCCATAACAGTGCCTCCAGTGCAAAACCAACCACTCTCTGACCGAGTTGCAGAAACCAATAAAATTAATAAGGAGGTAATCTGCTTGGTCTCTCTTCTTTCATAACCCCTGAGAAAGACAGCAAGCATCTCACAAGAAAAGTTTGTTTTCATCACTAACTTAATGTTTACAGCTTCTTCCCCATCTTAGAACTATGGTTACAAAGATTATTTGAGAAGAGGGAATCTAATAAATATGTCTGTATAAATGTATTAAACTTCTAATCCTCCCAAGAATCATAGTTCCCTGGTCAGATTGCAAGTATAGTTAAAACATTAAAAGAAGTTTAAAACAATTTTAAAAACAGAAGAAAAACAGTAAAACAAGATCATATATGCAATTATATTAACAGCACAAGAAGAACATTAAATCTGAAGTGGGGCAGTAGAGACACATTATTTAGAAATGAAATGAAATGAAATGAAATGACTATCACAGTGTAGAGGAGACACTTAAAATCAAGCTAACACAAAATTATAGAAATACCTTGAAGAAGGGAAATATTTTGCCTGAAACTAAAAAAAACGCAAACATTTATGTGGGTATCGGGTCTGCTCTCTGAATAAGGCATCCCATAAATGAGGCCCCAATTGAGGGGGTTCTCTCCTTATATCTACCCTGCCTTGCTTCCCTTGACGGGGAGAAAGTGACCTTCAGTGAGTCCTCTGCCACTTCGACCAAACCACAAATCTCAGGATTCTTTGGGGAAAGGTCATGATATATCTTTAGTACTGTGCTCCTAGACACCCCTCTTTTGTGTGTCTCCTCTCCTGTGGCTTTTCTTAATTTTGGTCTGTAAAGTAATGTTAACCTCATCTTGATGTGCTATGTCATGCATGACTGGCTTCTTCAAGAAATGTGGGAGGACCCCAAAATGTTAACTGGAAAGGTAAAAGTAATTTGGACAATGCAGGACACTGCATCTCTCCTTTTCTCAACATCAGCAGCTTCTTTAAAAGAATAGCCAGGCATAAATCCTAGACTTGTGGATGAAGCTGAAAAATACTTTTTTTTTTTTTCCTTTTTAGATTTCCCATGTGCAGAGAGGTTATTGCCTTAGTTTCTTTTATACAGACTGCCTCCATTTTTCTAGGATATTGTGCTCTGGGGAACTTGTGTATACATTCAAGTTCCTATATCTCTATGTTTTTGCTACATTGAAAGACTACATAGATTCACACTTCTCTGTTATATCAACAAGTTTGCAAACACATATCCACATATTCCTCCTCTCACTGAGTGAGGTAATTGTATTTAAATGTTTGACAATATACCTGTTACTCCTTCGAATGGGCCCCCTAATTCAAATGCATTAGAAAATTCTTAAATGAAGGAGAAAAAGTGGATTTCAATTCCTATAATAGCAGATTCTGAAAGGTGTGTGAAGCAAGATCAATCTTTTAGTAAGCTTGGATGTGGATGACAGTAAGAGACAACAGAAATAGATGTTGTTTCTCTGTATGATTAACTACTTTGCTTTTGTCCTCTCCCAGTGAGGTTTGGCTGTAGTCATTCCTAAGGCAGTGATGCAGGAGAATTACCTGTGATCAGGAAGATATGTCCAGAACAGAGACTCTCCCGCATAAACCCAAGTAGAATTCTTACCAGATTGATAATTCTTAGTTTTATATAGGCATTTATATAGTTTTATATATTCTTTGCTATATATGCTTTTACCATAGCCCAGATCCTCTCTGATTTCTTTGCTGCTGTGCCTTTATGACAGCTTGCGGGAGGTGCAATTTGCATGCTGTTTGTCGTGCTCTTTTATCAGTACGCTGTGCTCTTTTCTTCTGATTGTCCTTGCTGTATGAATCATACAGTCTATGATATGTTTTTTCTACCTGAAGTTATATTCTGGCAAGCGTTCTTTTAATATTCCTTCTAATTAATTTTCTTTTAATATTTTCTTTCTTTTATCTGATCCATTTTGATCACGTCAGAGGAAAAGTATCATGTTCCAAAAGAGGTTTAATGCATCTCACTATTTTATTTTCTTGAAAGATACAAACAGCTCTGAGGCATAAATCTGAGATTGAGCATCATCGTAACAAGATCCGACTACGAGCCAAGCGCAAAGGACATTATGAATTCCCAGTTGTGGATGACGTGGTTATCATTGATACCAAAGAGCAGCAGCAGATGTACCGCAAGGCACAGATGCAGATAGATAAAATCTTGGACCCTGGTGGCAACATGCCACCTGTTTTCATAGAACCCAGGAAGAGGTAAGACTGAGACAGCAGAATTCATTCCTGTTAATTTAGGAAATGTGCATATTCCTCAAATATTAAGAATGTTAAAATACATGTGTCATGTTTCATTTATACATTTCTCACCTGAGCAGGCACAAGGAGAAAAGAAATAAAGACAATAGAAGATACTGGACACTAAAGGGGGGTTTGCATGTTCTGTTTCTTTAAATATACCTCCCAGATATTTTCTTGAAAGATACAAAGATGCACAGGGTCTTCAGTTTTCTTGAGCATGGCTTCTCCCATAATACCCTTGTTAATATTAAAATGTACAAATGGGAGATCTGCTTCAGGTACCTTTCTTTCTGGTGAATAAAAGCTGGCATTCACCACCAACAAGGCCCTTTTAAAGGTGTACCATTGATTATTGAATGCCTTCTCCTATGAAGTCTGTGTGATCAGATTACAGCTGTTCTTGGTTTTTGGAAACAGGTCAATGTCATTCTGTTTTACAGAGCCATCTGTTGTAATTTGTTTCCCTGGTTTTGTTTTCTGTATATTTTAATAAGTTTGTTCTGTAAATATACATATTTTAAAGATGCTTGTTCTTTGATTATTCTGACTTACTTTGAGGTATCTTGGAGAGGACGCAGGATAAACTGATTAAAATGAATAATCTATTAATTTTTCTCAATCAATGTCCCATACAAAATAAGCAGATAAAACATAAGTACCTACAAAGATACCACCAGCAGTTTTGTATTCATGCCAGAATTTAGAAACTCAGTTCATTTTACAATAATATCTAAACTAGGCCCATCAGATAGAAAACTAAATGAGTGTTCTGATTTATTTATTTACGTTTCAGCTGATGATGATTCACTTGTGAATCTGGATAAGGGAGAGCATTTCACAATTAAGCTAGCTATTTATAGTGTTATGTTATGTTATGTTATGTTATGTTATGTTATGTTATGTTATGTTATGTTATGTTATGTTATGTTATGTTATGTTTTATGTTATGTTATGGCATATTCGCTCATCTGCCAAAGCTTTTGCTGCAGTTGCAGAAATAAAAGCAATAACATGTAGCATATAAAATGGGAAGCAGTGGTGGGAATGAAAATTCTAGCATAAACCATCTTTAGACAGATTTTCTTAAAATATGAAGAGGCTTAAATAAAAGAAGTTTCACATTCTACAAACCCTTTGAGCTAATGTTTCATTCTAAAATGTGTTATATTGAAAACACTAGGAAAGCCTGCAGTTTAGACAGTGTTAGCAAGTCTTAAGGCATTTAAAGAAACTTTATTTTTCTTTAGTTCACGGGCAAAACGATCTCCAAAGCAGCGCCGGAGGCATCAGATGAATGGAAGCCCAATGGATGCAGACAAGGACAGACTAATCACAACAGACAGTGATGGGACTTATAAAAGGCCTCCGGGTGTCAACAACTCAGCCTACATTGTATGTTTAGATCTTTAGGAGGGCTATATATGATAAAGGGTGGGAGTAGCATTTTATCTTTCAGAAAAAATAGTGTTGCCAACTTGCATCTGATTGTTGCACGACTGTACAGTGAAGAATGTTAATGTAAAAGTGGTTTATCACAGTTATTTGAAGAGCCTTGATTTATAGACCTATCTCAAATCTATTTTCTGTCTTAGAAGGGAAGGTCTAGGGACTCAAGAAAAGGGGTTTCATGCACTGAGCTATTCACTTAGAACCCTACGCCACAGGGTCTAGCCCTCTGGTCAGTGCAAGAATTCTAATTAAAGGATCTGCCTAGCTTCTGCTACCAGTGAAGGTGAAGTTTCTGGGTAATTGTTTTTAATGCTTTCCTTTGGAATCTGTAGCTTAAATCAGTTATTTCTGACCTGTCCCATTCTCTGATGTGATAAAGAAAAAGTCTTGGCTGCCTTCTGTGTGACAAACTATTTGAAGAGTGCCATCATGTCTCCCTCATTTGTCTTTTCACAAGGCTAAGAGTTCCCAGTTCCTTTAATTTCTTTTCATAGAACTTTCCAGCCTCTAATTGTCCTTGTTGCCCTTCTCTTAACTATTCCAATTTTTCTGAATCCTTCCCATTTTTAGCTACTACTGACTAACATGGCTCTCCTCCTGCAATATTCAAAGTGTGGTATGACCATTGAAGAATGAAGTGAACAAATATATCCTAAAAATTAGAATGCTACTTTGATTGATTAAGCCTAAAAAAAAAAAGGCATTTGCTATTCTGCTGTTTCATACTCAGCTTACAACTGACTTTTTTTTCTGGTTCTTTTTCACAAGTACAATTTATAAATCAGATATCCTGCACTCAGTATTGATTTCTGATTCTGATTCCCAAGTATATCACTTTGCATCTTTTCCATTATTCTTAGCAATTTCTCTAACCTATGTTTTGAATTTTGTTTTGGTGCTCTTGGGTATTAGGATATTTTTGAATCAACTGCAAATTTAATAAGTATTGCCCTACCTTGTTATCCAAATCATTACTAAAAATGACTGTACCACTGTAACACCTCACTGGGTACTTCCCTTCAGGTTGGTGAGGAACCATAGATGGGTATTCTATGAGATTTTCAGACCATTTCTGTGCCATTCAGCCCATATGCAACCAGCTTGCTAATCAGAATGTCATGGGCAACTTCGTTAAACGCTTTGCTGTAGCCTTCCTTTACCTTCCTCCCATATCTAAGAAGTTCACAAACCCAAAGCAGTTCTGGCCATGTATATTTGCAGCCTGGGACCACTATGTCACCATTACTTTTCCACAAACTGCATGGGAAGGCTAGGAGGAATGGCTGGCTAGTTGTTCAGTGAAGAAAGCTTCAGCCTGATTGTACTAGAAGTACTCTTACTTTGATTTTCATGCTACATGGAATTCATGCATTTCAGTTATCTGCAAATATTATTAATACTGTCTTGTTTAATGTGCAAAATGTAAAAATGCTATCTGGGAGTAGTTGAGACAGAGGTTATGGCTAGCATACACTTTCCCATTGACAGAAGAGTATATAGAGAATATGTGGCATGTCATCATCTACCAATACTGGAGAAGGAGATATTGCTAATGTTACTCATAATATGCACAGTAAAGTTTGCACAATGTCACACATAGATGTCATTATGACAAATAATATCACACCCAAATAATATTTAGATAATGTCTTTGTTCTTATCCTCCCGTCTTTCTGTTCCTTTTCAGTCTGATCCTGACCTTCCTGCAGATCCCCAGACACCTTCTTCATCTGAATTGGGAAAATACTCAGGCCTGCCTTCCCACGCTATCCAATATGTCCCTCCTCAGCCATCTATTGAAGAGGCCCGGCAAACAATGCATTCTCTCCTGGACGATGCCTTTGCCCTGGTGGCTCCTAGTAGTCAAGCATCTAGTTCTGTTGCCATCGCCCATCCTGGAGGGTCAGGAGGACAGTCAACAAACACTCCTGTTCGGGCACCAAGAGATACCCCCAGTAGTCAGTGGGGATCACCCTACAGCCAGGCTCACACAGTTAGTAGTCTCACTGATGCTCATCTGAAGAGCTCACTTATGAAAAAGGATAGTTCCTTCTGTCCTTAAGAATTTTTTTTCCCTTCTTCTTCTTAAAAGTATCCTACATTTTCTGCTTCTCAGCATCTGTCCAATTGTGTCAGAGCTTGGAAGTTAAGTAAGGTTGGGTCTCATTAGTACTTGGATGGAAGACCTCCAGGAAATTCCCAGGCTGTAAGTTATACAGGAAAGTTAAAAAAAGATGCAATACCACTTCTTTACTGTTACCAGAAAATTGAATGATTATGTCCTCATGGACATCAGGAATTGAGTTCAAGGGCATCTGTATATATGGTTTAATTGTTGGTATTTAAACTTTTGATGGTATGCTTACCAAAATCCTTTTTTAAAAATCTATTATTCTCTTATATTTTATTTATATATGATTGTGCTGATAAATTTTTTGATTTGATAATTTTTTTTCCTAACTTAAAGTATTCAATATTTGGAAAGATTTTACTCTCTTAACTTTTTCTTCTGAGTTCTATTTTACTATACCCTGATTTTTTAGAAGGTACAGTCATGGGTCTTTTTTTTTTCCTGAGATATGGTCTTTTTTCAGAGATACATGGAATTTGGGATGACTCCACCCTCAGCGCCAGGCCTGTTGCAGAGGTACTTTGCTGATTATTTGATTTGTGTATTTGCAGAAGAATTCTTACTTTTTCTAAGAATGGTAAATACCTCTTCCTTATTTTGAACCAAATTGCAAGCTTGGTAGATGTTGCAAGACAGAGAAGGCCACTGACATCAGTTGGTCCCTTCTCATCCTACTAGTATCTTGTTAGCATGTGCTCTGATGCTCTTGGGCTATTCATTTCCCTGCCTTTCCCTATGATGATAGCCAGTGAACTGAGGCATATATACAGAAATGCATCTTGTAAATGCATGGATAGATAACTACTTAGAATCAGTAGGACTGAAGCAATACAAAAGACTTATTTATGATTGAATAGATGGATGGATGAATGTGTCTCATTGTTTTTCTGCTAGCAGGCAAAACTTAGGACCAGGGTTTCTTCCACCTGTTGAATTAATACACCCCGACCCACAGCCATCTGATGTCCAGTATTCCACTCGAGGTATCTATCCCGAGGAAATGCCATCAGTGGCACGGCCACGGCCAGTTGGAAGCACTGCAGGTAATGATTTCTGAAATACAGAAATCTGTATTACAAATAGTCTTGTCTGCTACAAATTAGCCATAACTCTGATGGCTAAGTTAGACCCTCATCTTAGAATATAAAAAAAAGGCAGGATTAATCCCCTTCTCATCTTAGCTCAAGTAACCTCTCTGGACCCGGGGAGGATCTGGATAGTCAAATACACATATTTTGCACTCCCAGCTGAGCTTTAGTAGAAAACAATTCCACTAAGCCTCTGTGAAACCCATCCCTATCTGTGGGATGGATCTACTTTTTTTTATCTAACTCAGCAGTGCAGTTCCAGTGATGTATAGTTCTGTAGCTTGTTTGCATATTATAATGATATTGGAGAGAAAAGAATGAAAGATGCAAGGGTTCATAACATAATTCCAAACATTAGAGATTATCCTTCATCCATATCCCACAAGAGGCTTCTTACAGCAGTTCTGTGTATGAAGACAACTGTAGAAGGTACAAAAAAATGCAACTATTGGCTGGGGGCAAAGGGTATGTCAGAATTTTGCTCTTCCTTGGTAAGAATTATGACATTTCCTTGCCAAATACCAGGAAGACCTATAATGCACTTGGGGATAGAGTTAGCTTGTGCACCCTTCCAGATTGTGTTACGATTTTTTCTTCAGAACAGTGTTTCTCAACCTTAGTGTGCTGGCTGGGGAATTCCAGGAATTTGAGTCCGTACATCTTAAAGTTGCTAAGGTTAGGAAACATTGCTTTAGAATATACAAAACCATGGCTCCAACCCTTCCCAAGTCATGATCTGTGTATGTTTTAAAAGATAAACGGGGCAACACGTCTGTGCATTATCTAACCAATATCGTTGGGTACCGTTTGTATAAAATTAGCATTAGAAACAAGTCAGAGGACTTCTCTAAGATACTGATCGGTCTGGATCAGGTCAGTATTCCAGGAGAGAGTCAATAAAAGCAGCTAAGAGATTTACAGTAATCTCTTCTACCAGAGCTGGCCACTCACAGACAGTCCATTTTCATCCCTCAGAGCTCCTTCAAATAAGCAAAGCTGAACATTTTAGTTTAGGGTTTGGGGGATTTTTTTGGAGATTTGGGGTGGTTTTAAAAAGTGAACCCTTGCAGAGATTTAAATCTGTAATAGCACTCCTCACAAAATTAATTGGTTATTTTTTTTCCTCATTTGGGTGGGGTTTAAAGGGTAAAATGGGTGCTTTATACGCACCTCCATTCATATAAAACAACAGATGTGAAAGCTGTTCTTCAAAAGCTGGATTCTGCTTTTACTGTGCAGCTGAGTATCCTAAATTAAGCAAATATTTTCTTTTATTGAGGGCAAATCACTAGCATGAAATATATTCTCTTAAACTGCACATTAATGAAAACTAAATATTGATAGGTCAGAAGTGTTGTCTTCCTGACCCTTTCTTTTCCCCTCTTCTCTGCTCTACCATGTTCGCTTTCAGCATAATCCTTTTTTTTGAAAAATCACATGGACAATACCCTCCATTTGGAAAAGAATGCCACTGAAAAAATTGCATGCAAGCAGATCCTTTTGTTGATCCTGATTTGTCAGTCTTTCTAAAAAAGTTAATTGAACAAAGTCTGGACTTTATCTCTTTTTTTCCCTGGGCCCCATTTCTTTGATTATGTCTTATCTCCTTGGCCCCTGTTTCTCAGATTGTTTGCCCCTCCCACTTCTGATGCTGCATGGTAAGATGAAAACAAAACAATATTTGCTTTTAAGGTTCTCAGATACAGCACCTCACTCAGGTGGGAATTGCTAGCAGGATCGGAGGTCAACCAATGGAGATCCCCTCAGGCAGAGCAGGGCATGGCCAGCCAGGGGAACAAGGGTGGCCCCCATACCGTGGAGAGGATGAATTTGCTAGGAGAGAAGCAGTGAGTACTGTGCTTCGTGTTTGAATAGTTTCTGAAGCAGTCTTGTGTTTCCTTAATTCAATTTTTTTTTAGTTGCTTCTCTGATTTTTAGCTGCTGCTTTTGTCTCTTTCATATTTCAGCCCTTGAGTTTCTGCTTTTTTGTCCTTCTCTTCCTCATGCTTAGCTCTCATCCTGTACGCCAGGTTAGGGAAACTTGCTATCCGTTCGTATCAGCGCCAGCCAGCACTGCGGCATCTAGAGAGCCTCAGGTTCCCCATTCCTCCTTTATGGTGTCAGTGGGGATTGCTCCTCTGAACTGACTCCATCAGACCTCCCACCCATCTGAAAAAAAGGTCCACATTACCTGGTTGGTGTGGTAGAATACTGTGAATTTCTATCATTGGAAAGAATGATAGAAGCATGAGACAGAAGAGGTCTTTAGTATTACAAAATAAAAGCCATGTCTGGTTGTGTTCTTCTATGATGCTTTAGTTTGGCAAGCTAATTTCATTGGGGTAAAATCCTGTTTTTAGAGCATGGCTTTCTAATTGACATGCATGCTTGAATTATTGCAAGTTCTTCTTCCTCCCTCCCTGTATGGTAAAGATATCTCTCATTCATGTTCCTGACATGCTTGCTTTTTCTCTTGCTCTCTCCTGCATCAAGACTATTACTCACCTCCATCCCATAGTAGACTATGCTCTGGTGTACAGACAATAGTTTCCAAACACATTGAAGGTGATTTGATGGAGGCACTGTTGCTATAGTGTTTGTACTCCTTTCTGTTTCGCCGCTGTCTTATCTGGTCAAATAGGTTTTATATATTTTTGAAGTTCTGTCAAAGGTTACTTGATTCAGAGATAATATTAGGATTAATCACACTGTGAACAGCGAAATCTCTATCACACCACCATCCTCGAAAAAGGGCAAAACTATTGTTTCTCTATGCCATAAATTCCTCTCAGAATTTGCCATAGTAAACTACTGATTTTATACATCTCATTGTCTGTTCTTCCCTCACTAAAGGAAGGTAATTCTGTCTGAAATATGTTATTGTCAGCAACAATGGTATTCTTGTTCCTTCCATCCCATCTCTGTATCAAATTCTATCTTTTGATTTACTAAAGAAATAAGAAATAGCAAGACTCAAATAAAAATACAAAACTTAGGCCTGATTTTCAAAAGGAAGAGTTTAAATTCTCAGTATTGCTGACAGTCAGTGAGATATAATGTAAGGAAGAACAATTGGTTCCAATTTTGCTGTTTTGAAGTTCAGCTTCTAGCCAATTTTGTACCATGTACCACTGCAGAAATATGAATTTAACTGATCTAGTGCAACCTTGTATGATGCCGTCATACAAAGAAGGGGTAGGAAGGGGATTTGCAAGGCCCTGCTGCATATAAAAATGTACAGCTTTGTTTAACATAGTTTGTACGGGCAGAAAACTGACTATAGCAAAGACGTAAAATGGGTCTTGAATTTTCAGCAGTCATGGAAGCAACCTCTGGTCCATCACCTTAATACATGCTGTATGCTGCTATGCCATATAGCTCTAAAATAAAAATCTTCTGGATTGATTGGCAAATCAATTTGTTGATTTGTGAGGCATGTGCCTTGACAGATGATGAGGAGATAAGAGATCCTAGGTAGGAGACAGACCAAAACCTGGTGTGCTGACAATGTAATGGCAGGGTCCAAGGTCTTCTGCCAGTTGGTCTAGAATGAAAGAAATTAGCTAGTACTGAATCTTTGGATTAATCAGTAAAATCCATTTGGCCTTCTCTTGTTACATTCCTTTCTGAACCAGGAAAGTTCTTTTTTTCTCTGTGGTTATTTCAGCAGCTTCCTCCTTTGACTAATATAGTGTAGTGTTTTCAGTTCATATCCCCTAGCTTCTGACAGAGCCGGGTCTGAATCAGGGCCAAGATACTTGGCAGCCTGTCAGTGAACAAGATGGAGTCATTTCCCCCTTTCTGTGCACAGAAGCTGACCTGACTGTTAGTTGAATTGTACTACAGTATTGGTGATGGGGGTATCACCACCCCCCCCATTTCATCTGAGGGGAGTCAGGACAATTTAGGAGATGAAAGCAGCCCCTGTAGCCCACGGAGCTCTATCCTTCAACACAGCGGACAGCTGAAGCACTAAGAACTGGCTGGCTTCAGCCACTGCCTCTGCCTCTGGCCAGCCTTGATATATTTATAACAGTGCTCTGAAACATAGCTTTGAATTCCTCCCTCACCTGCAGATTCCCACTGGAGTAAACTCTTGGGTGCTTGTTTTCCTCTCTCGCAGCACTTAGTAGAGTCTCTGTTTCTTCTGCATGTCATTGCCATTGTTAATATTGTGGCCTCAATGTTGCTTTGCAAGCTAGTTTTCTTTCTTTCTTTCTTTCTTTCTTTCTTTCTTTCTTTCTTTCTTTCTTTCTTTCTTTCTTTCTTTCTTTCTTCTGCTTTACTTATTCAGTTCAAGTTTCACTATTTCAGTGGAACTATAGATTCCAAGGAGTAAGTCTCCTCTTTGAAAACACCTGCAGCTTTGTTTTATTGGTACTGACCCTAAAACATGTAATGTGCCTGTAGACCAGGATTCTCAACCAATTGTCCTCCAGATATGTTAGATCAACTTCCATGAGCTGAGGATTATGGGAGTTAAAACCAAATACATCTAAAAGGCATCAGGTTGAACAAAGTTGCTATAGTCAACAATGTTATAAAATGCGTTTAGTTTGAATAAGTATGTATTTGATCTTGTTTTTCTTTTAGTCATAAATGCATATGAATACAGAATATGTATTAGATGGCTAATAAAAATAAGTGGTGCTTGTTTCAGCACTGCTATTAATCTTGGAAGCCACTGTGCACTATGACACTTTAAAGACTAATAAAGCTATTGTAGCATAAGCTTTTGCAGACTAGGATCCGTTTCATCGGATTCATGAACTCTTTTCTTAAGCTGATGAGTATACATCTACATGAGTATAAAAGGAAGAAATGTAAAGCAATGAGATCAGACAAGCTGGACTTTTTTTTTAAAAAAAAAAAACAGTCTGTGACATTTCCATTTGAGCTTTACATGTATGCAAAATAAGTGCAACGTGTCTACCTGACAATTCAGGATATAGGTAGTCCTCATTTAGTGACCACAATTGGGACCAGTGACTTGGTAGTTAAGTAGTCGCTAAGTAAAACCACAACTATGTTTGTGATCTTACTTCAGCTTTCCTTTGCTTTAAGACCTGCGAAGGTCATAAATGTGAGGATTGGTTGCAAAGTTACTTTTTCATCACCAGTGTAACTGCGAATGGTTGCTGTGCAAGGCAGTCACTAAATGAGGACTACCTATAATCCTTTATTCATTTAATTAAACTTATTCTAATCCATGAAAATGTATGCCATGTAACATTGTTTTTGTGGCAATAGAGCTATCCCTTTGGCAAAAACATTTGAGGAGTTCTGGAAGGAGGCCAGCAATGATCAAATGTTCCTCTAAAACAGTTCACTCTCCCAGTTTTGTATTTCAAATCAAAGGAAGACTTTCTGCTTTCTCTGTCCCTGCATCTTTTTCTGTTTTTTCTCCTTCTATACCTTTTTGTCTTTAAGATGATCCTGGAATAATGCTCTGTGCCTTTCCCTAGACACATATGCCTGGACATCACGAATATTGCTCCTCACCAGTATTCCAGATGCCGCGGAATTCAGCTCGACAGCCTTCAGCTCCACCTGTTCATCTGCCAGCCAGCAACCAGCAAGGTCCAGGTCTTTGCTACAATACCAGCTCCCCTGAGGACCTCCAAACAGGACATTCTTCTGCCTCCCTCATCAAAGCAATCCGAGAGGAGCTTCTCCGGCTCTCTCAGAAACAGACCATTGTGCAGAACTTCCACAGCTGATTTGTTCTGTCCTTGCAAATCAGCCAATTATCTGCTTCCTGTGGAAGCTCGACTTGCAGGAAAATCAGCAAGAGCCTGCTGTTCTTCTATCAGAGGAGTAAACATGTACAATACCAGAGATTTATGAAGCAAGAGAAAAGAACTCTCCAGCAGCAGCAGCAGCACAAGAAAGATTTCTGCAAATGATAGGGAAAGTTGGGAAGCAAACGTTGACACACAACCGTCTTTTAAACTTCCTACTTTTAAGCATTTTTGGCATTGTAATTGTACTTTGGCTAGGAGTGTTCCTTCATAATTCTGATCTGGAATCCACATGCTGGAAATAAGGCCGTGCTATCCCCTAAAATGACAGTCATTCGAATATGCCAGTCCTTGATTAAGGAAGAAAGGCAGCATCAGATTGGTGGTGGTTCCTGAGCGGAAATCTTCTGCTACAGATGGGGATGGGGGGGGTGTATACTTCTGATGTGTTTCTCTTCCCATACAATGCAAGTAGTGTTGTTCTTGTGCAAACAATTACTTTAATTAGACCATTGTGAGACTTCTTGAAGAAAAGACTTGGGCAACTTGCTAAACCAAGAGAATAATCATTGCTAAATACTGCTCTGTGCTTCCAAGTGGAGCCAGTCTCTGAACTCTTCCTTGTCGTTCTTCTGGTGCTGAAGCTTCAAAGTGTCCCTTGATCCTGGTGTTTGCAAATTTAAAATGATGGCCTTTAAAAAAAGAAAGAGGAGTATGAAGACACAAACATAGGAAATAATCATTTATACTTATTCAGGCTGGGGAAACTAATTAATCCTCTTTTTAGAAACTGTACTTGGCACTAGTAAGTTATTGATGGACAAGTAGCAGATGGATCAATAAGTGGAAAGATGCATCCAGGGCAATTTCACAAGTGACACAGAGAACATTATATGTGCATGGTGATGACATTACTGTACATGAATTATTTTCCTGTGTGCTCCCAAAATCCATGTGGGAAATCTATCATTGATAACTTTTAGCAAACATATGTGGCTGGCTCCAGTTTTTTGTCTTCTCCCTTCCTTTGGAAATGGGCACTTCTAATCTGAAAGGTTGTAATCTATCATGATCAATGATTTAATTGTTCTGATCTCTGCCCAGAGAAGGAAGCATGACCTCAGTAGTCACTTCAAGGGAGGACTCTATGGGCTTAGGCTAAGCCAAGTCCAAGAGCTATGCTCTTTTCTGTATCAAAATGTTGAACATTTCATACTGAAGCATTTTCTCATATTTACTTCCCATGATTTCTTTTAAAAAATGGCAAAGTTTAACTCCTGTTAGATCAGTATAGACCCTCATATCCCAAGAAGTTTGCTTGAATAGATGCTTCACTTTCATGAAAGGTGTAACAGTTCAAGATGGTTTGTCATAGTGAACAAATTAGATAGAAAATACCAGATGTGAATATCAACCTCACTTTCCAGTTGCATCCTCACTTGAATTTTACAGTGAATGCCTAGGGCATAGTGTACCAGCTTAGATAGAAGGAATGGCATTCATGCTGAGAAAGAAACAAAATGCATGCTAACAAATCTGAAACTGCTGAAAAGGCACATGCAGTTTACCTGGCACCGCACAAATGGTCTTCTGAGTTCGTGCATTTCTTTTTTCTTTAAAAAGTTGCAACATTTTCAGCATACCGTGTTCTTAGATATACACTTTGAAAACCTCAGTGCACATCTGAATGTGTCCCTTGTAACTGCTCCTGAAGGCACTCTTGAGATCACTTGTGAAAATTCTTCTGGGGTCTGAGATTGAGACTATGGGTTGAATGACTAAGCTTTTTGTTAATCTGCCAATGTTATAAATGCAGAAATGCTATCTACTTTTTGAACAAGGATAAAATAGGGAGGCTTAATGGTCTGAGATGAGCTGAACAGAAAGCCAGCCTGAGTGGTATCATGTCACCAGCAGTAGTTCATCATAAACCACACTCTGCATTTGGATCTTAATAGAATTGAAACTAACAAACTTAAAATGATGAAGTTCCATTTTAGAATAACAAAAGCTTAGTTTCATCATTAGAGGCAATCTCTGCATTTGTACGTGTTCCTACTGATATGATGGTACAGACCATCCAGGCACTAGTTCTTACAGGATTTTAATTTTACTGTTCGTTGTGAGATGTAATTTACTGTCATATGGACATTGCTTTAATTATAACCCGCGTAATATGAGTGAAAATTCTAACTAAATTATTTTATTTGTTGGAGTGTATTTTTTTGTTCTGTTCTTAACTTAGACTAAATTAAAGCTAAAGCAGTGGCATAAAGACAATTGAAAACTGCTATCTGAACAGATGTGTGACATCAGTGCATTTATATTCCTGTGGGTACTAATGAATGGTTTGATGGTGTTACACTTTCCTACTTGATCCTTGAATCTGTATCTGTATTATGCATTTTGACCTTCATCCAAGAATGTGTTCCAAACACTGAAGAATTAGAATTGCTATTGTTATCACTAGGATTTAAGTTAGTCAGGACTAACTTCCCATAAACCTCAGTGGTGCTACAGGTAGTCCTTGGTTAATGATGGTAATTAGGACCAGCAGCTCTGTCATAGCAACTCAGTCATGTCACATGACTGCACCAACTTCCCGAAGTCCCAGTTGCCATCGTTAAGCAAATCCCACAGGGTTGCAGCGTCCTACAGTCATGATTGCCATTTATGACCTGCCAGCTTCCCCACTGATTTTGCTTATTGGAAGCCAGCAGTGAAGGTCGCAAATGGAGATCATGTGACCACTGGACATTGCAGTGTCATAATTGAGAGCCATTTGCCAAGCACCTGAATTGTGATTATGTGACCACAGGGACGCTGCAGCAGCTGCAGCTATGAGGACCCATCATAAGTCCCCCTCATTCAGCGCCATCGTAACTTAAAATGGTCATTGAATGAGTGGTTGTTCAGTGAGGACTACCTGTAAAATTCATTAAGATCAAACATTACAAAGACCAGTTTTTCTGAATTTATAAAATTCCTAATTTTCTTTCTTTTGGAGCTTGTTTTTATGCCAAGCTGTTTGGCATTGATAGATCTCTGTATTTCCTATTTGAGAGCAATATTTAGAGTCTATCCTTCTCTTATCAAAAGTGAGCACTGGAGTTTTGTTTTTTGTTTTTTCCCTGTTAATAAGAAAAGCTGGTTATTTGCACACATTGGAACTATCCTAGTTGTTTAGAGAGAGCTATCAGTTACAATGGTGTACAGTAGGTGGCAGCACCTAGCTAACCTTGGCTAATTTCAGAAAGCTAAACAAAGTTAGAATTGGTTGATGCTTGGATGGGAGACCACTAGGAAATTGAAAGACTAAGAAGTGAAAAAACAAAAACAAACCTTGGGAAGAAAGCAGTCAGCAAGTACTTCCAAAATGCTGCCAAGAAAACTACATTGCCATATTCATAAAGTCACCAGGATTTGAGCTAAACCTGAGGGATACCTTATCTAACCTTGATTAATGACAGTGCCCATAATCCTATGTGAGTGTGGACAAACTCTGCATGTATAAAAACACTGAAGATCTGAATCATGTTTTTAAAACAATATGAAATGGTGCACTGAAATGCAAAAGCCAGGTTTCAACCAGAAACCCATAATTAGAGAAAAAGTGTAATTTACTGGGGTAGACGAGTGTATCACACTGCTGATTTCCCACTGGAGTATCATACCTTCCCTCATTTCAACAAAAAGAGTTTAGCAAATTCATACTTTTTGAATTGGTTACTGACACATACAGAAGCCTAAGAAAATCTGTCTTCCTTACATTTGTTTCTCAAATTCCCTCTCTTCTATTTCTCATTTGTTACCTTGAAAATATCAGTTTTAAAATTCAAGGCAACCAGAGTGTGTTTGAACAGAAAGACAAGGGACTGCTTAACCCTTCCTGTTCCTTCCTCAAGACAGCAAAGGGAAAGTAGAGGAAGGTATCTCATGCACAACGAATGTGAAAAAGGGCAGGCCTCTGATCCCATGAGCGCAGCCATTACCTTGGCCTTTTTGATCCTCCCTGCGGACACCTCTGCTAAAGTGGGTACTGTAGACTTAATATGCTTACCTACAATGTGTTGAAAATGTTCCCCCCTTCTGTTATGTTAAACATTAAAATGGGGCAACAACTTTTGAGAAGTTCTACAGGTGATACACAAGCCTTCAGAATGCTACCCATGGCTGGCTGCACAGGCCGACGCGTTGGTCAGATAACAACCAGGAGCTACCACACAGTCTCTGAGAAAAAAAAGAGTGCTTGCTCCTTAGATATATACCCATTCTTTATTACATTTGTTCTCTTAAAACACTTTGGACATCCTTCCTGGCTTTTCAGGACTATTTCATGGATTGATTGATTGATTGATTGATTGATTGATTGATACAATTTACATGGCCACCCAACTCACTCCCTGTGACCTGGCGGCTTACAGGAACAAAAATCCCAAATAAAAAAAACCCACGCTTTCATAACAAAGTGGAAAGAGCCAAGGTTATTAAACAGTGCTCACAGTACAACCATTGAGAAAGGAGGAAAAGGAGAACAAAAATACAATTTGGTTGTTTTGCAAGCACCTGGTTTCAGTGTTGGCTATACAGGTCTCCTCCAAACTGAAAACATTCTGTTTCCCAGCAAGTTTTGACTAGTTTACATCATCCCTGGTTCAGACTCAGAAAGAGAAAATAAGAAAATAAAGGCTGGAAAGCTACAAGTTTTGATTCAAGTCATCACCCTGAAAAATATCACCATCTGTGTCAGCAGAAGGAAATGTCAGCTAGCTGACTCTTAAGCCACTTCGATAGAGGATAAATGGTGCTTTCAGTGATAGCTGTTCAATTCACAACTACAACAGAAGAATCCAACAGAAGTGCAAATTCTTGCTTCATAGGACTGCAAATATTTCTGCAAACCAGAGCTGTGGTTCTCTTCTCCGGTGTTGCAAAATAGAGAACAGGATTAAAACCACAATGATGCATCTTTGTGGGCATCATTCTTCTCACGTCCTTCTGGTAGAAAGCATAAATGTCCTTATTCTACACGTCAGCAGTTGAATAGGCCGTTATTTTCTCCATCCAACTGCC